GTATATATATATATAATTTGTTTTTCTGTTGCATCTTCAGTGAAGGGAAACCTTCTAAGTCTAACAAAGGTACCAACAAAATAACCTACAAATTAATGTATTTTTTTATATGCCTGTAATGCCCTTGCACAGCTACACACAGACTAGAAAAGACAGGGGCAGCACTAGTTGCTAATGAAGTATGATGCATGCAAATGTTGACCGTGAACATGCTGATAGAAGGAGAAAGCAGAGGAAGAAGATGCATGATTTATCTGTGTGCTGCTGCTGCTGCTGCTTGACTAAGTAATGCTACTGCTTCAGTAGAGGTCTCACACCTGGCTGTATAATGGCACCATTTACAGATCATTAGGGATATGATATAAGTATTTGAGGTTACAAAGAGGTTGCATATAGAAAATTTTACATAAAAATTTTAACATGACTGGTGAAAGTTTCTTTTTTTCTGCCAAATACAATATGGATTAATTTTCCTCTAAGATTTATGCTTTACATTAGAATTGAACTGTTCTCTTTATCATTATGCTACCTGTAGCATATAACCTGATTGTTCAGCCATCCTGTAGGTGTTTTTTCATAGCTTACCCATAATATCAGTCTTTTTCACCTTGATAAGATTCATACTTAGAGCAAATGATTTGATGTAGAATCTGTGTTTTTACCATATAATACAAGAAAGACATACAGGTCCATTTCAAAATGCTTGTTCTTAATTAGAAGCAATGCCGTCGGCAAATTAAAAAAAAATCCAGGTGAATGGTCCCTATAATACAAGAACTAATTAACTCACCTCCCGGTGGCCCATGTGTCATATCTCTGTTCCAGTGCTGAAGCCTCCTTCAGACTCTTTAGCATTTGACACGTCCGGGAGTGTCAGATGCATGTGTCCCCTACAATGCACTGTAGTGCTTTCCTCCGGCCTCTACATAATTGCTGTGTCCTGTAGTGCCGTAGGAGGTCATCAGCGAGAACCACAGCATGCCACAAAAAGTACAGGAATCTGATACTGCCAGAAGTTAAAGAGTGCTAAAAAGTGTGATGGATGCTGCAGTGCTGGGATGAAGTAAAGGCAGGAAGCAGGGGATGCCAAAAAATGAGTATAATAGTTCTACTATTGCAGGGAACCTCCATCTGCATTTTTTAGGGTCATTAGAGTAATGGGATATTAACATTATAGTTATCTGTTATTTATTATCTATTGGTACTTAGTATTGAAGCTATCAAGTAAAATACAAACTAGTTCAGTTTTTTGAAGATGTTATTCCTTCTGGGTATCCAGACTGACATATAGACTGCAAAGAAAAAAACCTGTTTTTTATCATTTTAATCTTCTATCTTCATTGTTCTGCCATTCACTGTAGTACAATGCATCCCCTAATCCAAAACATACATGTTCCACTGTCCTGTAAGGGAAATACTGCTACAAGGGATTATTTCAATGCCAGACAAGAGAGCAATGATAAATACAAATTAAATTCAGAGCAAAACACTAGAAGAAAAAGCATGTTGGCATTTATTTGATTGTACCGGTTATCGCCTGCTCTTTCCCATTTCCCACCTGCTTTGACCTTTTTCAAAGGTCCACTTGATATGCAATATTTATTCTTCCTTATAACCAATAAAATGTAATTAAATGTTAAATATGCATCTCTTATAAAAGGCTGACAGGCGGAACTCTAAATATGTAAGGATCCATAAAGCTGAACTCCTGGCAGATATAAAAGACAAATGAATGCAGCTCTGTATGAATAATACATCAATAAATGTATTTAATGCAAGCAGTGTACGTGCCTGTATTTAACTTGGTGTCAGCCTCTTCCTTGAACAGCAGAGTTCAGACTGGTTAAGGGAGAAGCAGCACAAAGAGCCAATCAGATGTGTTGCAGTGCTCATGTGCTGACAAAGAATATGCTGATAGAAGTAGAGAGCAGAATGATAGAAAGATGAGCTTTGTTGTTTTTTTTTTACTGTCCAGCCATAGGCTTACACCTGTAAAACTGGCCATACACGGCTTAGATTTTGGCCAATTCCTGTAAACTGGACAAAATGCAAGCCATGGGTTGCTCTATTTCTCTAAGGCTTGACAAACTCTGATTAAAAAATGGAAGGAGCTGGGTGGGGAAGAGCTGAGCAAACAATGATTGCAGCTAAGTTTGCATATCAGATGCAGTCAGTTTGCATATTCTAACAGCTGCAGGTGCCAGCTGTCAGAATACAATAGCTGCCAGGTTCATTGATCCACACTTTTTCTCATGGATGGGGGAATTGTGTTATTTTTTTCATGGATGGGTGAATTAAGAGACATTTTTACTTGCATGGCCATTGGCCAACTTCAGTTACTGAACTGCAGCAGAGACATATCAGATCCCCTGCCTTGACAGACCAGGCTGTGCAGTGTGAAGGGGCCTCTAAAAATGTCAGGGCTGGATAGACAAAAATACAAATCCTTTGGCAGATAAAACAACTTCCATTAACTGTCTTGAGTTCCGTTTTAAATCACTTCGGTATCGGTGCATCCCTAGTTATAATGAAAGAAAATTAGTAACATAGTTCAATTTCCACTATTAAAATGAAAATATGTATATTGGTCTTCTACTCTGTTTACTATTTATATTAATTGTGATATTAGTTTATCTTGCTTGTGCTCTTTAAAAAAAAAAAAAGATATGATTGTTTCCTACTTTGCTATATTTATCCAAGCTACTCCCAAAATATAAAAGAAAAATAATTTTTTTCTGCAGGGATGAGATTTTTATGTTATCACTTACCCTAAATAATCCTCTCTGCTTCAGCCCAGAACATGTTTATTTTGGTGGTGGGAAGTTAGTTGGAACTTGACGCAAAAATAATTTATAATTGTTCAGAGACTTGTCTTTCTTGCTTCTAGTGAGCTTTATTGATTCTTACGTTATAAAAATGTGCATTTGTTATTACAATCTGTTGTGTCCCACGTATTACGCATTTTACTGCTACTACCATTGCTACATATTGTATTATGTCATTGATCTTGTGGTGTTTACTGACATCTAGTGGCAATGAAAAGTCACAGCAATTTGTTTATTTTTGCATTTAGTTTGTCCCTTTACTTCCCCTACTGTTTAGTGCTAGTTAACACAGTCCTAGGCAGACCTTCCCTGTTCACTTATGCACATTGTAGAAACAGGGCTTAAGAAAGTCATTGTTTACTTCAAAAGACTGGAAAAACATCTGTACTTTATTTTGTGTAGTCAAATTGTGTTGGATTTAACTTCTGTCTCTTCTTGGAGAGTAAAGCTGTTGGTGAATTCTGCTGAATCAGCAAGTGGCCATACTGTCTGGACAAATCAAGATCTATGGAAATATGTCAGTGCATAAAGCAGAAGTTGAGTAAATAGGCAATAGTAGTAACTTTTAAAGCTTTATCTAATCCTGCCAGATTGGAAGAACTCAGAAGGTGAATAATGGAAGCCAATTGACAAGGTCAGGTAAAATGGATTCCTAGTGTGAATTAACGTAATATCTTATTAAACATATCTCTCATTAACAGTTTATATATAAGAAAGTGGTAGCTCTGGCTCCTTTTATTGTTTAGAAACAATATATCAGATGCTGAAGTTTCTGTTTAATGAGAATTACATAAAACGTAAATGGGGTTTTACACTGGATCCAAGATTTCAGAACATAACCAGATGTTTAAGAATAATAGGACAAGTAGCAGATTTTTGTCATCAGTATTCCACTAGTTTCTGAAACACCAGTGAAATACTTGTCAACAA